ATCACAACCAACAAAGAGAATGGTCGGGTGGGTGAGTTGTTCCCTGAGACATCCCTTGAAGAATATGCTAAGCAAAATATAAAAGAACATCATGTGAATCATGATGATGAGAATGATGATCATTGTGATGACAATGATGATCATGATTATGATAGTGAAGCTAGCTATAATGAAGATCTCGAGGATGGTGAAACTAATGAAGATGAACAAACTTTGAACTAAGATTGGTATGGGTTATGTTTCAAGATCTTTTCTTCTGTGTTTCACTAATCATTATTTATATGTTCGGCAAGTAACTTATTTCTTTGCCTTTTTTCTGTGGCAGATGGGATATAATATAATATCATATTCTAAGGGATAATGGGGTCTCTTTTTTGCGGCAATGAAGATGATGATCTTTTCAGTTCAGTCCAAGCCTAATGCAATGAACTCTCGTCAATTATACTTTGGGGAAGAGATCTAGGAGTCTAGATCACCATCACAAACTCCCTTTTTTTAAGTTTTCTTTTCTGGATCTACTTGTAATCCTCCATCTCTCACATAAATTGAGTACGTCCGGGTCATGTGATTCACCTCTTTTGTTTCAAGAAGTTTCAATTCACTTATTTTTGTCCGATTTTTTTATTTCTGAAAAAACAGCCTTCCTGTAACCTTGCTGGTGACAGTTCTCTCTTGCTATTACAGATTGTATATGTTAAATTCCCTCTCCACTTGAAATGTGTTTTCGTTAAAAGTTCGGAAAATTCTTGCAACGCAAGAGCAGCAGCTCATTGCTTCATCTGCAGTTAATAGCTCATACAAGTCAACCCATATAACTGCTGAAAAAATCATCACTTCGAGTTTTTCGAAAAACAAGAAGCTCTCTTCTCAAGTTAGCTACCACTTTTGGCTAGTTTAAAGAAATTGGTACGCAAGTTAATTATCTAGGAAATACCAAACAATAATTAGAAAAAAGAATAATCTAGAAATCCAAGATCAGTACATGGTCAACGGTTCTGAGATCCATTGAAAACCAATTGGCCATATCCTTGTGCATGCCCAGGAAGAGAGAACACTCCAAAAAATGCAGAGACAGAAAACTATCAAATATCTGAAATTCCTCTGGGGCTGCACCATTGCTATCCTGTTCTCGCTTTGTTTTGTAAGCATCCTAACAATCTTAATCTCAAGTCCCAACGTTGCCTTCCCTGGCCTGTTCTTCGGCACGGCCCCGACAACGGCCTCTGTCAATATCTCTCTTGTTGACTCAATTTTCAGACGTTCTTCTCTCCACAGCCAAATATCCAGTTTACAGAGCCAAGTTGGCATTCTGCTTGAGCAGCTGCATACAGAAAGTTCAGAATCAAAGGTGCTAGCAAAATTCTCCAACCAAGTCCTTCAGATTGCCATATCCTTAAACAATCTTGCAGATGGCTTATCTGGTCTCCATGGTAGCAGTGCTTCTCCCGCTAGCAATGAATTAAGCAGCATCCACGAAGACTTAACTGAAACAGAAGAAACTGACGATGAAGAAGGATCAATCCAGGGGATGGTTTTCAGGTCAGGTGAACTGAGGAATTATACTTCATCGAAACCAAGTAGGCTAAGTGGGAAGAAGAGTTTCCTAGGAGTGGAGTCTATCAATCCATCAATTGGTTTAGCTTGTGCTGGAATGGCCTCAAATGTAGATCGTTTCATGAGCTACAAGATCTATGGCATTTGCCCTGATGATTGGGACATTGCTCAGAAGCTAATCCTCAATGGCTGCGA